TGACACTAGGAGTATTACAAGCTTAAGGTATATCTATACAACCGTAAAACTTACAAGAAACAACCACAGAAAAGTTTTGTTGGCCCACCACTTTTTTCGAAGAAATTTTGTTAAAAAGTAGGCGTTTTAGCTTACCCCTCCAAAAGATCGACACGTAATTTTTCAAAACAAGTCAGTATTGTTTACCTGTTTGTATAAATTTTTCAGAATTGTATTAAGTGCTATTTCCGCTTTATTGCAACTAATTTTTTCATTTATTTCATTATTAGATTGTTTAACTTTGTCTTCATTTTTATCAGCTATTGCTTTCAAAATATCATCATCAGTAAGACTACCTTCAATTTCTGTATTTTTAATACAAATATATTCATGAGTATTTAAAAGATCAGTTTCTGAAAGTTGAGCTAACAAGTTTTCAAGATCATCTTCTTCATTTTTTAATATTTCTTCGAAATTATCCAGATTATAATCAATTTGCATTTCTTCTTTTTGTGGTGAGAGAATACTAGTTTTATTTCAACAATTAATAATTGTTTCAGATGTTATCATTGCTTATGCCTCTGCAGTATTAAGTAATATATGATATACATTATATTCTAAAAGCTCTTTTGTAATACTGTTTTGCAAATCATCATATATAGTTATCTGATTTTGAACAAAAAGCTGCTTGTATTTGTATTTAAAGAAATTGATAATCCTGGCATTACAAGGTTGAAGAAATGGTGTAGTATTTTTTGGCAAAAATTTGACTTTTATATTGCTTAACTCTTTCTGAGTTTCATCAAGAATTATATATATCAAAGCATTGTTAACCAATAAGATAATATTCTGATTTTGTTGTCTCATTTTATTATTAAGTTTAAGAATAATATTATTAAAAATACTAACCTGTATCCATGATTTTTTATTTTAAAAATAGTAAACCAAAAGATTATTATAATTTAAATTTTTCATTGCATATAGTGTTTTATATTTATGAATAAAGGAAAGTTTCATTTTTCAGTTCTAGAAGCATTTACAGTGCAAAAAATTATAACACATGCTTTTTCTTTTTTATGATCAGCAACTTGTGAGCATGCTAAGGTACAGAAAAGTTCTATCCTTTAAAAAAGCCCAGTTTCATTAGCATTTCAGATATCTTAAAGTTTATAAGCACAAAGGAGTTGTAACTTAGCACAATTATTAGCTATTGATTCTTCTGATAGTATACTAGCTGATTCTTTGTGTTTTTTAAATGATCAAAGATCTTTCTTTTCTTAAAACTATTTAACCAACTTTTAGATTGGCTAAAATCATCAATGTTTAATTTTTTAGCAAAGAATTTTGCTTTTTTCTTAAGAATATTACCATCAATATCTTGATGTATTGCAAGTATATTATCAGTCCACAAACTAAGTGCTTCTTCAAGTTTTGGCTATTTAGGTCTACAGAATTTTTTTTTTCTTGTTCAGCATCTGAAATTGAAAGCTATTGTTTTTTTTCTTTCAAAATATCAGATACTGTTAACCTGCTAATTTGATAGAATTTTGTCAATTCATTATAGATAAGGTTAGGGTTTTTTTTTAGTTTTACAAAGGCTACATTTTTGCATAGCAGTAATACTAGAATGATGATGAGTTGACATATTTAAGATTTAAATATTGAAGGCAGTTTTTTTTTAGAGATACAATTTAAAAAAGCACAAAGCAAATACAATTCCAATTCA